TTCCGGGAGCCGGAAACGGGGCCGCCCCCGGTGATGCCAGGTACCCGTGGCGTCCTTGATTTGTGCCCGCCTGTCGTGCCTCGCTCCAACCACAGTGAATGCAACGCCGAGTCGCAGCCGCAGCCGGGGCTTCCCGAGGCCGCCCTGGGGCCTGGGATACCTAAACACCTTTCCCTGCCTTTTAGAGTGCACTCACTTCTGTGACCCTGCCCGTGGCACCCTGGATTTCCTGTGTCCTCACGCATATGTGCACAACACGTGAACGCACACACATGCACTGCTGCTGCCGGGCTCGGGCAGTGGAGGCTAAGGAGACCAAGGCCTCTGGGGTGCGAGCCGGGCGGCAGGGGGGACCTCAGGACACACAGCTTGCTTCCCTGCACAGTCTCCTGGGCAGTCTGCTCCCAGTTGGACCTCGGCCTCCTGCTGAGGAGGCCTGGCAACTCAGAAAGGGGGAGGCTGGCTTAGCTCCTCCCCTTCCTGGGCTGGTGGGGAGGGGCGGGGCAGAGATCCAAGGAGTGCGTAGCCTCAGCAGTGGAGGGAGCGCAGTCTCCTGCCAGCCCGGCAGGGAGAAGACGTGTGTCATCCCCATTTACTCACTGAGTCTTTCAACAAACCAGTATTGCGCCTGCACTGGCGATCTCAGGGGGCTGCTGCTGGACAGCAGGTGGAAGGGGACAGCGCCCCTTTCTCCCGGGCCTGTGCCCGCAGTGGGAGGGGAGGGAGGGAGGATGACAAACACGGAGGTGCCATCATGGGGCTCATACCTGCTGCGGTTGGGTTTGCTTTCTCAGTGCTGCAGTTTGAGCCTAGGGCCTTCACACTGAGCTGCATTCCCAGCCGTTTTTAGTTTTTGAGGCAGGGTCTCCTAAGTTGCCCAGCCTGGGCTTGTACTCTTGATCCTCCTGCCTCAGCCTCCACAGTGCTGGGATGACAGTTGTGCCCCACATGCCAACTCTCACTGCACATCTTCTCAGCGCTGCGTGGCAGTCCCGGCACTGTGCACAGCCACAGCCTCGGGCTTTGTGGCAGCTCTGGGGATGGGGACCCCGTGAAGCTGTGGGGAGGCCCAGAGCTGGGAAGGTCTGAGGACCAGTGCAGGAGCGGGCCGTGGGGTCTCCCAGGGCCTCTGCGCCATGGGCTGCCCTGTGGTTTAGAGGGAGCCCTCAGGCAGCGCAGGGGCCCAGGCTAAGGATGGTGTTCCCAGTCACGCGGTGCTGTGACACAGGCCCCCTGCACAGAGGTGCAAAGAGCCGGAGCTGAGCCACACTGGGGCTCCCAGCCGCTGTCCCCGCAGCCCCTGGTGGGCAGCCCATACCCTGTCTCCAGGCGGCTCTGGGCAGAAGCCCCAGGACTTTGAAGTGGGACAAGTCCACTGCCCACTCGGATTCCCTGGTCCTCCTGGGCTTTGAGGAGTGCTTCTTTCCTGGGCTCCGCCTTTCCCTGCCAGTGATGGTGGGAGGAGTCTCGGCAGTGCCAGTCAGGGGAAGGGGCAGAGAAGCCCTGGGTCATTTTTGAGTGGCTCCAGCTGAGCAGCCCGGCTCTGCACCTTGCTTCCGTACGTGTTTGGGTCCAGGCTGACTGGCCATGCGCAGGGCATCTCCTGTCCAGACGGAGCATCAGAGCCACAGCCATGTCATGCATGACAGCCGGTGGGGCGGGGGCGGGCGGTGCTGGGGATCCGTGGCCACCTTAGGGGCACTCATTGGTCCTCACCGACTCATGACAGGCAATTGAGAGCCGGCTGCCCTCACCTGTGCCTCCCTGCGGGGAGCAGGAACAGGTTTTGTGAAGGAAGCACACTCTCTGTGACATCTTGGGTCCTGCTGCTGGCGTCCCCAGGAGCATTGACCTGTGTGGGGTTCCCGAAGTGGGTCATGCTCAAGGCCACCATGTACCAGGGACCCAGGCCACCCTCCCTGGGTGAGTCTCAGGGACTCAGGCAGAGCAGCGAAGATGCCCTGTAGGTGCCCTGAGGCAGGGGCTGCCCAGGCCCTCAGGAGAGACTCACTGTAGATGTGATGGCTTTTTCTGTTCCTCTACCCAGAGAGGCACATTAGCAAGACTGCAATTGAGACCCTGGCCTTGAGGACCCTTCCCATGGAGCATTTCTGCACCTGAGTGTGGCCACTCATCTGCTTGTTTTCCTTCTCCTTTTCTATGCTTCTGGGTCCCGCTGCTTCCTGCACCTTCAAAGCACCGTCCCTGCAGGACCGCCTGTGAGGAGCCCGTCCTGCTCAGGGCTCCTTCGGGTGCTCCTGGACATGCTGTCTGTCTACTGCCTGGGGCATCGGCGCTGCCTGCTGCTTCCTTCCCGTCAGCCCCGTCCTCCGGTCCTGGCGCGGGTGGATAATCGTGGTGCCCGGCTGCTGCGGTGCAGGACCACCTGGCCAAGGGTGCCGGTGCCCTCTGTGGCCTCCTTGCAGCCTCTCTGAGGCAGGACAGGTGTTTGAGAACACACGGGAGCTCAGGTGGTAGGAAGTCAGGGCTCACTGTCCCCACACTCTCACCTCTGGTCCGGGTGCAGGGCCCCAGCACCCCCTGCTGTTGCTGGTGGGTTTCCATTGCCTCGGCAGTGCCCTGCAGTAGCAGCTTGGCTCTGTGCCCTGGGGTCCATGGCTCTGGGGGCTCTGTATGCAGGTGGGTGTGAGTGATCCTCAGTCTGTGCAGCCCCCGTACAGTAGATGTTCTGGGAATTGGAGCCAGGGAGCCTGACCAGGACTCGGGCCACACGGCTGTGGGTGGTCACCATCCCTCAGGGCCTCCGTGTCACCACTGAATGAGGGTGCAGTGAGTGTTTCCCAGGGCTGCCATGAAGGTGAAGGGTGGCCCAGGAGCGTCCAGTCCCAGGCATTCTGTCCTTCTGCTGCCCAGCGGAGCTGAAGCCATCAGATGCTATCCTGTCTTCCAGGACACACCCTGTCCCTGCCACCCACCCGCCCCACACCTCTTCCCACCTGGGTAGGAGAATCAGGGCGCCCACAACGCCCCCGAGAGCGCAGCGGATGGGCCCCTGTCTCCCCCTTCTAGGTGATGGGCTCTGCGGCTCTGCTCTGGACCGTGGCCATTCGCGGCGGCAGGTGGACTGGATGAGACAGGCGATTGGAGAGTTAGGGGAGGGTCTGAGAGCACGCACGGCGTGCCTGCAGCTCATGGCGCGTTTTAGAAGTCCCTGAACCCTAAGCCCAGGCATCACTCTCACAGGCCAGGTGTGGGGACGTCTGAAACTCCAAAGAGCCTGGTCCTGTTGTCCTTATGCGTCCTGCCCCTCCCAGCCTTTCCCCGTGCAGCGTGGCCTGCTCTTCCCGTCTCACTGAAATGGTGGCGCTGCACAGCGTCAGGTGTGCGTGCAAGCACAGAAGCGACAGAACAGTCCAGAGGACCCAGGCTTCTCGCCCTTTTCCTGTGCCGACCCCAGGCAGGCCGCCCACAGGGTGTGCAGCAGCTCCCTGGCCTCTCTCCAGCAGCTCGGGCCACCAAGAAACTCGATGGGCTTCGGTATCTGGACCCCAGGGACAGGGTGGGAGGTGGCGCTGGCACAGGGAGAGGCCCCAGTTACGGTGCTGCTCCAGGGTTTGGGCCCAAGTCTGTCAGCAGCATTTCCTGAGGATCACAGGGCGAGAACCCTGCTCCTGACTGCCTGGGCCAAGCGCCTCCCCTTCGCCTCCAAAACAGAGCACGGCACCTTCCCAATCTGTCTACCTCTCCTGTGGATTCTTCCTGTCACGTCTCTGCCTGTCATTCACCCTGCAGCCCTGTGGTGGTGGAGGGAGTGAGATTAAGGTGAGGGGCTGCTCACGTGAGCAGCAAGGGAGGCTGCACAGATGCCGGAAGTCAGGACCCTCTGCAGAGGGAGAGGAGCTGCCCTGCGTCCGGCAGACTCGGTGAGCTGAGGCCCCAGGACATCCCGGGAGTGAGGTTCTGGGTGAAGCTGATGTGCAGCTCCCAGCCCCGGCATGGAGTGGTTATGTGGGGGAGCGGCGCTGGGGGCTGAGGTTGGGGTGAATGGAGCCCATATCCCTGGGGACACTCTTCCCCTCCTGTCGTCAGGAGCTGGGGTGGCGTAGGAGGCCTGGGCCCAAGTCACAGAAGCTCAGGGAGCAGTGTTTGGGGTCAGAGGTGTGTTTGCAGTGGCTGACAGGCCATGGGCAGTTGGAAAGTCACGGCACAGGAGCGAGGGCTGTGTCCAGCACCTAACTTTAGGACTGAGGGCTGGAGGGAGCACCCAGGACAGTGTGCCTGGACCATGTGAGGGAACAGACTGCCTGCAGTTCAGGGCGCCAGTGCTCAAGAGGTCGGAGGTGTCCTGTCTGGGTTCCCAGAGCATCACTGGCCAGTTTTGGGTGCGTTGTGGGGCACATGGGATGGCCCTCGTGTGATGCACCGGCTGGACAGTTGGCAAGCTCCCAGGCTGTGCAGAGATGGGGCTTTCCCACCACCGCTCTGTCATTGCAGTCTGGGAGGCCGTGCTCTCGGTGGTTCGGGCGGTGGCTGGCATAGCCTTGGCATGGTCCCCTCCATCCACCATACTGCAGGCCGCACCCATCCCTGCAGCTCTCTGGGCCTCGCGGGGATGGAACCTGGGCCGGGGCAGAGGGGGACGGTGTTCCTCAGGGACCACGTGGGCCCCGGCCGGATACCTGCTGACCTCTGGGTCCAGTCCCTGAGGGCCACCCTCCTTCCAAGAGGTACTCCGCCTCCTGCGCATTGTCTGTCTCTCCACCGGGGGCGGAGACTCATTGTTCGCCTATTGGATCCAATCACCCTTTCTCCTGTCCCCAAAATGTAACTGAAAAGCCTTAATGGCTTCCAGATGATGATTGCTCCATAAACCGACTAAAAACTTTAATAAAACTGTCTCGAGTTCTGCTCCACAGCGCAGGCGTGCCCTTTGCTCTCTGATGGTGCCAAGGAGGAATGAGGGTGGCTCTTCCTTGGGGGCCTGCCCCGGAAGGCCTGTCCCACCCGCCTGACGCCTTTGTTCCTCTCCCACAGACGATTCACGTCGCCATCGTCTGCGCCGGGTACAACGCCAGCCGGGACGTGGTCACCTTGGTCAAGTCCGTCCTCTTCCACAGGTGAGAGCAGCTCACGGTGGGCAGCGCATCCTCCGGGGCGGGAAGGCCAAGTCCTCACCCTGCCCAGGCTGGAGGGAAACCTGTCTGTGCCCTGACCCTGGGGAGCCATGGAGTTGTTCACTGGCGGTGACTGGCCAGTCCTTCTGTCCCGCCTGAGTGGAACTGCGGGCCCCCAGAACAGCACTTCAGCTTCTCCGTCAGCTCCGGGCTGGCACTCACCAGGTTGCGCACTTTGCAAGTGCCCTGCAGGTCACGTTATTCACCGTGTTATGGTCCCCAGAGTTCATGTTTTGAAGCTGTAATCCCAGGCACGTGAAAACATGGCCGTGTCTGGAGATAGGAACGACCTCCGAAGGTGTGGTTTGGTGAAAATGGAGCCATTGCATGAACCTGATCCAGTATGGTTGGTGTCTTAAAAAGAGGTCAGGACACAGCCACACACGGGGTGGACGCCATGACCCTGTCTCCAGCCAAGAACAGGGCCCAGAACACAGTTCCATGCCAGCTGTGTCACACGTTCCTGTACCGCCAGCTGTCTGAGGTGCCTGTTGTGTGTCCTACTGGCTGCTGTCTTCCTGCCATTGTTCCCGTGGCACCTCTGGGCATTCTGGGTTACAAAGCCCTGCCTCAGCCTCTTCTGACATGCACAGTGCCCACAGGTGATGTCCCAGCTCCTGCCTTTGTCCACATTCTCTTGGGACTTTTCCCTGGCCTGCTCTGCCGGGTGGTGTTGGTTGCATCCAGAACTGGGCCTGTAGGTCCAGCTGTACCCGTGGCACTGCTCTGACTTCTCAGGGAGGGCTTGAGTCTGGGCAGCGGTCCAGACAGTGCTGGGTGACCCGGCCAGGACCAGAGGCTGCGCGGGAGCCGTCTGAGATCTCGGAGACCACAGGATGGGGATCAGACGAAGTGGCCCTCTGGGTCCAGCTGTGAGGGTGTAACCAGAGGTGGGGACGCCATGGAGGCCGGGACCCGCCCTCTGCAGGACGCTGGAGTTCCCTGTGTCTCCCTCTCTCTGTCCCCACCAGCACACGTGTGCTCCACGGCTGTCTCTCCACCTCGCTCTGCCCCCAGGCCCTGGTCTCCTCACTGTCAGTCCCTCCCGCCTGCTGGGCTCTGCTCTTCAGTGCCTTCCTCTCAGCCCCAGTGGTGTCTCAGACGGAAGTCTGAGCTCTCTCAGCTTCCTGCACCCGCCCCTGTCTCTGCACAGCGCCGCCTCGGGGGCTGCTGCCCTTCTCCGTGCAGTCTTCTCTCCTTGTGCTGACTTCCACTGCGCCCCTCCGACCTGTGCAGGGCTCCCCTCCCTGTGCTGGGTCTCCATGGCTGCATCTTGTGCTGTGGTCCCTTGGCCACTTCTGCCACCTCACCCCAAGGCACCTGCTCTTTACCCGTCTGAACTGCAGTCTGTCCTGCCCACGATGACCCTGTGGAGCAGACGTGGCCTTCCGGGGACACAGGCTATGCCTTATTGTTCTGCATTCCTGGGATCTTAGCAAACTGCCACTAAATGCCCAGTAAATGTTGACTTGCAGCAGTAGTAACTGTGCTGTGAGTGAATCAGGAGTTCAGCTCCAGCGAGCTGTGTCCCGTTGGAGCCGTGGTGCAGCCGGGTGGCTTTCAGCAGGTCACTCTCTCTAGTCTTCAGTTCCTTTGTTAATCATCTCCTGTGACCAAGTCCCCCAGAGCTTACCTGGACCTCTGCACAGTTACTACTGAAATCACAGGGGTGGTGCTTGGGCTGGGCCCTCAACACGCTGTGGTCCACAGGCCAGAGCCAGAGGTGGGGTTTGCTGCCCTCCTGAAGGGGGAGTGGGAGGAGCCAGAAGCCAAATGGCAACAGCGTCTTTAGGGACAAGGCTGCCCTCCCCTCCTCCTAGCCATGGCCCTTTGGAAGACAGGGCAGCAGAGGAGGAAGTAGGAGACCGTGTGAGGGCGGCCCTGCGTCTTGGGACTGGAGGAGGAACGGTCTTTCCCAACAGTAGTGCTGTGGGCAGGATCAGGGACGCCGGGAGCTCCACGGCCCTCACCTGCTGCTGCCCTAAGCCGGATGCCCTGCCGCTCAGCACTGAGAGAAGGAGCCCTCAGCTCGCCCTCGCATTCCAGAGCCCAGAGAGAGAGAGTGGGCCCCTCCTTCACAGAACGCAAGGCGCTTGCTGTGCTGGCCTCAGTGATGACCTTGTGAGGTCACGAAAACATCCCGGGGTGTAAAATGTGTTCCTGTTGCTGTGGCTACGAATCAGATCACCAGTGGCTGCTGACATCGCGAGAACCCCACTGAGGGTGAACTTCCACTCCCGCAGTCACACGCAGCACGGAGGCCTTAGATTATGGGACAGCTGCTGGTAGTGTGCTGCACTTTCTTGGTGATGAGGCACTTACGGAGGAAGCCAGCTCCCGGCGTGAGTCGGGACAGTTCCGCATCCCGCTCAGTGATTCCTTGATCTCCTCGGACTAAGTGAAGCCCCATCCCTGAACGCATAAGGAGAGAACGACCCTGTGAGCCGGTATGCTGCTGAGGAGCTCGACAGCAAGACGAGAGGACGCTTGAAAGACTCTGAGCTCAGGAAGTGCAGCTATAAATAGCCGCACTGCTGTCAAGCACGCGTCAGGATCCAGAGTGTGATTGTGAGGCACACGGAGAAAGCACCTTCCCGACGTTAATGATAGCACGGTAACCGTGCTGCCGGCTGCTGCTTTGGTCCTCACCGTTAATTACAGTGACTCGGTTTATTTTCCTGAAAAGACTTCCGACAAGTTCTCAGTGAAGGCTTGCTTTCCTGCACTCGGCTGGTGGGGGTGGCCATGAGGACGCTGTCCTCGGTGCTCGCGGGAGAGTGCAGGAACGCACGTGCTCAGGGACTCTCACTGCCCATGGCTAAGCTGGAAGAAAGCGTGCAGCCTGTGCCCGAGGCCGTGACCCCAGGTGACGCAGTAGGGACTGTAGTAAAAGGACAGCCCGGACTCTAGGGAAAGCTTTTGGGAACTACTGTTTCTTAAAACCGGCTAACCCTTAAAAACAAGAGTAATGGAACAGTCACGTGGCTGGCTGCAGAAATGAGTCGCAGCCAGAGCGGTGGTTACACGATCAGGTCAGTGGAGGTGCAGCGCAGGGTGGAATGCACAGCCTGCACTCAGGGGCTCAGCAGGCCTCTGCACAGGTGCAGGCAGGTACAGGGAATGAAAGGCCGGCCGGAAACACCCAGGAAAAGCGAGCTCGGTGAGTCCTGTTTGTGTGGGGGAAATACAGGTGATTTTGCTTTTGTTTTCTCTGCTACATGCAGTTTTGACTATGCACCCTCTGTGATGAAGGGAGGCAGACGAGAGGGGTCTGCAGGAAGTGCAGGTGGTGAGGGTTCACTGCTCAGTAGCACAGCAAATGTCCCCATCATCCCCAAGAAAATTGGGAGCATGGCCGGCCCTCCAGCCCCAAGTGTGGGTCACCGGGACACCCAGCGCTTAGTGGCCAAGTGTTTACTGTTTGTGTGCCAGGGCCATCTGAGCTTTGCAGTCTGATTCCCCTGGTGGAGGAGCTGCATGTGCCGTTCCTTCCCACATCCTCAGGCTGTTCTGATGAAGAGCACATCCAGCCAGTGCACTCCTCTGCGTCTTCCTGCTTCTTCTGCTTCACCCGCAGGGGAAGCGCAGTCCAGGCTGTATGGGGAACAGAGCCAGAGAGCACAGAGGGAGGCCGGTGGGCTCTGGCCTGACTGGCACCCTGGGCAAGCTGGTAACCCAAGTGCCCATGGCGTTGTGGCCTGTGCCGCCCCAGGCCCTGTTACGAGTGTGGCAGATACTCTACTGCTTACCTGACACACAGCCAGCTTCCTCTGCCCTGGCTCTGTCCAGGACACCCGCCGGTCCTCAAGCACCAGCCCTCCTATGCCACCCCAAGACAGGCACTGTTATCTGTCCCACTTGGCAGACAGTGCTGCTGTGCGCTGAATGCCGCTGTGGCCCAAGGACAACACAGAAGAGACGGAAAGGGCCGGGTGCAGATCCGGTTGGTGCATCCCCAGCACCCGTGGTCTTCACTAGGAGAGAGTCACTTGTTTGGGTGTTTTGGCGCTGGTGGTCATGTGGGTGACATTGGACCTTCCTTGTCATTACTGACCTTTCTGTGAGCTCCTGCACCTCAGTCACGCCTGTAACTGAGAAGCCAGAGGTACAGGCTTCACACCTGACTGGTGTTTCCGTGTCACCCAGCCTGTGATAGCACATGCCACCGTCCCCAAGGCCAGTGAACACAGGCTCTGGGGTTGAATGTCTCCTTCTGGGTCCCAGAAAGGAAGAACTGGCCCAGGGGTTCCAAGCTTGGCTCTGCTAACCCCCATGCGTGAGGCCTTTGCTGTCCCAGGAGGCCCTTCAGCCTCCTTAGTTAGGTCCCCGGTCCCCTGTGGAGCCTCCACGTGTCCAGAGTATCCCGTGATACCCAGACCATGCAACCTCCCTCGAACAGAAAATCACGCTGAGGACCTCAGCCCGACTGCTGTGGTTTTCTGCAGTGAGAGCTCTTAATGCTGTACATGTTGCAGACATCCCAAGCTCAGGGTGCTGTCACAGGCTTGCTTCTCTGAAATTGCCATTGCATTGTAAACTTAATGATGTCAGCAGGCACGACCTTGTATGACCCCAGATTGCTGTGGAGGCTGTGATACCACCCTTCAAATGGAAGGGGAGGAGGTGAGCAGTGGCTTGGTCATCTGGGTCACGCTGCAACTCTGTGTTTATTGCATCCTGACCAGAAGAAGGGGCAATTAGGGATACGGCAGCTGTGCTGACGTGGGGACCTGGTGCCCTCTCTGTGCACAGGTGTGCTTCTTGGGGGAACACAAGTGGAGTCCAGAGCAGGCCCGGGGTGCCGTAACTCAGGCCACCTGGGCAGACCCAGCCCAGGCAGCTACCAGGAAGTGGCCTCTCCCATGGGGCCACAGTGCTGCAGTCACAGCTGAGCCTGGGTGCACGGCACAGACAGAAGCCAGGGCCGCCTGGTCGTCCCCCAAGAGCCCTCCCAGTGAGAGTGCCAGCCCGAGAGTGTGAATTCCCCACAGCACCTCGCTATGTGCGCTGCTCTCCCTTTGACCGCGAAAAGAGGAGGTGGGCTCGGACCAGCGGGGTGGCTGGCCGCCCAGTGTAGACGGCCTACTGGGAGACCTGCAGGATTGAGGCCAAAGCCTCTCACAGCTGCCGCTTCAGCTCGGCCCGGTTCCTCCCCGTCAGTGCTGCGTGTCTGGCAGCTGGGTCTCATCCTGGCCGCAGCACCGCCCGCCCTCACCAGCCCTTCTTCAACTTGGAGCGCTCACCCCGCCTGCCTCTTCCCCCAAGCTTGTCTGCTTTCCTGTCCCAAGGCAAAGCTGCTGACCACGTCCTGAGGTCGCTCAGCTGCTTCTTGCCCCTCGCCTGGTATCTGCGCTCGTTTCTCCTGCCGTCTTCTCCAGGCAGTGTCCCGTGCTCCTCCACTTCCGCTGCTGTGACAGAGGGACACAGGGGCATCTGCAGGAGCGATGTGCAGGCTCTCAGCATCGTGGTCGGGTACCACGTCATGACCCAGCACCTGCCAGAGGGCTGTGTGTCACCCGGGAAGAGCAGAAGGGCAGGTGAGCAGGGGCAAACCTGGCCTCTCACGGAAGCCACTCAGTGGTAGCCCCATGGCCCCAACACCCCCACAGCTGCTGCAGGAGTCAAGCCAGCCTCAGGAGAGGCACGGCGTCTCCTTTCCATCCCCTCCTCTTGCTCTGCCACCTGTCCGTCCTTCCGGCTCACTGAATTTCTTCCACATTCCCAGCCCTCTGTCGTGAATGTGGGGCTGTTACACACAGGAGCACGGTCCTTTGCTGGCCGGGTGAACAGGCCGTGGTTCACTGGGCTGGGTATGCAGTTGGGCCTGGCACGGGACAGGTGTCTGTTAGGAAGAGCCTCGCCCAGACCAGGGCTCCCGCGGTGTCCCTAGCACCCAGGCATAGCCTGACAAAGTGAGGGCCCAGGTGGCTTCATGCATGGGCAGACCCGAGAGGGCACCAGACCTGCCAAGTCTGTGGTGGGCAGAGCCTGAGAGGGTGGAGAACCCAGGGCAACCTGGCACAAGCATGAAGACTCAGGATGGAGGTGAAGCTGCTGTGTGGGGTGAAGAGGCCCGTGCCACCCATGCCCGCCGGAGCCCGCTCTCTCCACGTGGGTCCTCACCGCACAGCCTGCTGCGCCCCCCGCCCTCTCTGTTCCCGGGGTCCCTGTGCCTGACACTGCCTGGCCCAGCTGCAGACTCCTCTCACCGTGCGGTGCGTCCTGTCCCTGTGCCCTGTCACACCTGCTTGTCCTCAGGGACACTGCCTCTCTCTCTCCACTCCTCTGACCCGGGCAGAACTTGGATCCTCGTCGTCCCTCTGTGGGCTGTCTCCCTTCGTCCCTAGCTGCATGCATGGTGCGGCGGTTCTAGCTGCCGTCCTCTTAGAGAAGCAGTGTTTACACTGGAGCTCACTGTGCCCAGCGGGCCCTCTGAGAGGTGAGCTGCGGCTTCCTGCTGCCCTGTTTGTTCCCAGTGTATTGCGCATTGAGCTCTTAGTTCATCAGCGCAGTGGCCTCACAAGGAGGCTCCCTGACATTTTATAGAGCTGAGCAGCAGCAATGCAGAGGTGTTGCTGACTTGCAGCACTCCTGTGACAGATGCAGGATCCCGCTGCCTCCGAGCCAGGCCCCGTGTCCTGCTGGTGTGCGTGGGGTGCGGCGTCCCTGCTGGGCTGCAGGATCCTGGATGAGTAAACTCTGCCAAAGCTCCTGAAGCGGACAGCCGATGCTCGGGATGAAAGCCGGCTCTCTGGGGGGAGGGCCGTGCAGGAAGCGCACCTCGCACCAGTGCTGGGACAGGTTCCTGCCAGGCACTGGGAGATGCCCCATGTCGTGCCCCCTGCTCTGTGCCTATATGACCAGGGTCGGGTGTAAACCGGGTCTGGTTGGCGCCTGTTCTCCATTGTAGTTAGAAACAGTGGCCTTCACAGCAGTGGTGGGTGGCTGGGCTCAGGCATCCTCAGTGATGCCACCTGGCAAGGTCGGGTGAGATGGGTCCCCTCTCCCTGCCCTGATGTCCCCACCGGCGAGCACCTGGTGGCCTTTTGCAGTGGCCGTGAGAAGCGAGTCCTGCCTCTGGAGCTGGGATGGGCTGGTGTGCGGCTCAGCACAAGCCCTGACCCCTCGGCTTCCTCTCCTCTGCAGACGGAACCCCCTGCACTTCCACCTCATCGCCGACGCCATTGCAGAGCAGATCCTGGCGACGCTCTTCCGCACCTGGATGGTGCCCGCGGTGCGCGTGGACTTCTACAACGCGGATGAGCTCAAGGTAGGGTGTGGGCTGGTCTGCTCCGGCTTCCTGGTAGGAGTCCCAGCTCCTCAAGGAAGACGTCCAGCCCGACGGGGTGTCTGGCGGGGTCATTGAAGGTGACAGCGCGACTGCTCTCTGCAGGAGTCCACAGTGCTCGGGGCTGGCCTGGCCACCAAGCTGTCCTGAGAGGCTGGCGGCCGCTGGGGTCCTTGGAGCCTGAACGTGGCCTTTGGGAGACGACTAGCGGGGTCTGAAATCCGTGTTCTCATTCCAGGTCCCAGACCCCAGGTCACCCCTGTCTCTGTGGGCCCTGTTTAGTCATTGGTAGTGATTAGAATTCAACTCACGGGGTAATTAAGAGGCCCAAGTGAAAGAATGTGTGTGAGCTCGCATTAAAAAGCCTGTGCCGAATAAGCATGAAGGGTTTTCACCAAAGCAGCCACGTGGTAGCCCCCTCCTGTGCCTGCCGCCTTGGCTGCATCTGGGCCAAGGCCCCGACCAGAGCCTGTGGTGCTGGCTGTGGGCTTGAGTGCCCGGCTGCCCTTTGCCCTGCAGCACATTTCCCTGTCCAGGCTCTCAGGAGGGGAGGCTGCCACTCTCTACATGCTCTGTGGTGCTTTCTCACCGTCCTGTCCAAATCCTTGGCCTCCCTCCTGGCTCCCTGCGTTGCCCCTCTGGCCGTCCCTCACTCCCCAGGTGAGGGAAATGTTCCATTGCCCCAGCCGGCCGTCTGCAGGAAGCTTCTCGGGGAAGTGGGGAAGGGGACCGCTGCTGTCTTCTGCTCTTCAGTGCCTGCTGGTGCTCCTGGGCTCCCCGACCAAGCACTCCCGTAGAGACCGTGCCGCTACACAGACGGCCATCGCTCCGTGTCCAGTCTCCTGGGGAAGCGCTGGGCCCAAGGCTGGTCTGGGCAGATGCTTGCTCAGACCCTCGAAAGCCACTGTCCTTTTCACTTCAGACCGTCACCTTTTAGTAGACCTTGGAGATGCTCACAGGAGTTTCTGGTTTCCCGGTTTTCAGGCTTTGAGGTCCATGGAGATGTTCGGAATTGAGCATTTGGGGATTGTTGTGGTAATTTGCTTGCCATTCCAGTCTATTCTAAGCTGGAATTGATTAACACTCTTAAAAAGGGAAAAACAAAATTTAACAAATTGCTGTGCTTATTAAGGTGAAAGCAAGCTACTGTGTCTCCCAAGGTCTCCTCAGTGCTGGGGCAGCAACAGGAGGGAAGGAGCCACCTCTGACCTCTGGCGAAGGCTGCCCCTCGCTTTGCCCTGCCACACCCGACACAGGCCTGTGCCCTATATTTAGCAAGAGCACAAAGTCTTGCAAGACCTCGACTCAGAGGAGCAAAAACAAAACACAAAGCAATGGGAAAGACAGCCAGGCCCAGGTCCTGACTTCCCCTGATTATCCAGGGATTCCAGCCATGGGCGGGGCTAGTACTAGCTGGTGACAAAGGCATGGAATAGGGTGACCCAGGCAGGCTCGGGGGTCTTGTAATATGGCAGACTTTGAGAATTCTTCACTCTTTAGCCCCAGCTCTTCTAGAGGCTGAGCTGGAAGGGTCCCTGGAGCCCGGGAGTTCAAGACCAGGTGGGCAACACAGTGAGACTGGTCTTCTTAAAGAGAAAAAAAATACAGCCTCACTCCCCTCTGAGGCCAGGTCACATAGTATTTGAAATGCTCTTGCTGGGCCTATGGCTCATACTTGTAATCACAGCTACCCTGGAGGCTGAGGCAGGAGGGTCAGAAATTCAATGCCAGGCTTGGCAACTTAGTGAGACTGTCTCCCAATGAGCGATAGAAGGAGCTGGACAGTATTCAGGGGCCCACAGGTTCAGCTCTCAGCACTGCACAAAGCGGTGCAGGGGAGCAAAGCTCTTCACTGCGTGGCCCATTACTTAATCTTATGCAGTTGGGGCAGGGGCTGAAGAGGTATGGGCTGCAGCTGCGTCTACTCCAGGAGCCCTTGAAGGGTACAGGATGGGGAGGGACTGGGGCTCTGACTGCCCATGTCCAAGCCAGCCAGCCCAGTTGCCTATTGTTAAAAAAGTGGATCTTTCCATCTAAATTAGGTCTGCATGGTTCAAAGTTAATGTTGCCAGGGATTTAGCCCAGCGGTGCCGCCTCCTGCCCCGCAAGCACAAGGAAGGTCCTGCGTTTGAACCCTGGTAACAAAAAATTAATGTTCCGTGTACACAATCTGACATCCTCGAACGGCATCATCTCTGAGTCCTGTCCCATAGCACCTGCAGTTCCCTTACAGACTGGGCTCCTCTTTCTTCTATTCCTGAACCCCATGGGACTGTTGTCAGACTCCAGTATGGCTGTGCGCAAGGAAGCATTTTATAGAACATAGTTTTCCTGTAATAATCGCGGTAACAGCAGTGATAGTTCATGCACAATCCAGCTCTACACAGCCACCGTGGCCTGCCTGTCCCCCACGCCCGGCTGTCTCCTGGCTCATGGCACCATGGTTGCAGCAGCCGACCCTCCAGAAACTAGGGGTCATCTTTGAGAGGCGCTGTCCCTCACGGGCACCTGACTGTACCCTGTGCGTTCCACCTCAGCCCTGTCCCCCGCCATTGGCCTGGACCAAGCCTGTGTGATCTTTCCCGGCACAGTGGCGACCGCTCTTCCAGACTCATCTCCTGGCCACCCTGCAGCTCCGCTCCTCTCCTAGATCTCTTGCTGCATCAGCAGGGGTCAGCGTGGTGCCCCAGGACACCCTTCCTGAGCAAATCCTTGCGTAGTTTCCCCTGCTTCCAGGCCAGAGACCACAACTGTGCAGGTTATTTCTCAGTTAATCTCCATTCCAAGCCCTTTCTTTGCTGCATTACTAATTAATTCCAGGATTTTGCAGCTTCTTTATACAGGAACCCTGCCCTGCTGGCCTTGCCTCATAGTGGCTCCTTTGTTACACGTTCTTCTAGGATCACGTAGATTTCTTCGGGACGCTGCTGTTTCCTGTATTTGCCTGAGGAACTTATAAATGTGTGGCTCTCCTAGCCCATAAGTTCCAAAGGCACTGGGGTCATCTTTGGCTTTTGTCACCCTTGTGTGCCTTCTGCCTGAGGTGACACCTGGTCGGTGAAATGTTTGCAAAGTGAGTGACACGCAGTGCACTCAGAGCTGAGTCCTTAGAGCAAAGCGAGTAGTGTTTGTCACCACATTGCCGAAGCCGCCCTGCCTTGGGCCTGGCCAGGGATTTGCTGACCTTGAGCCTGCAGTGGCATAATTCATCAGGTCCCTGTGTACAGCCTGAGTCCCTAGAGCAGCCTGTGACGGGTGAGTGTTTTTTCCAGAGAGTATCCATGGCAAATGCCAGGAAGGGCGCACACTGCAGCATTATCCTGTGCACAGCGCCAGAGGTGAGGAAGCACAGGGAAGGAACAGACAGGTCTGTGTTCTGCAGCTGCGGTGGAAACGCACCAGGGTCACCTGGGCGCACAGCCCGGCCTCCCCAGATGCCACCCAAGAAGCCACTTTGTGCAGCTGCTGGCAGTGGCATTTCTCGGAAATGTTCCTGTGGACTCCTCAGTGAACCTGTTAGTGCTGGAGATGGAGCCACGGGGAACAGACGGTTTATGAGGGATTGATGCTTGATTAAAAACGAACAGTGGGAATCTGTGTGGACGAGCGCACTCCTCCCTGAAATCACCCACTAGTGTGGATTTGCGAACAGTGATTGCTCACCTGCCCGTCTCTGTGGCCTGCAGCATGTGCACAGGTCTGCCCGGGGTTTCCACGGCCCATTTCTTTGCAGCCTGCGTGTCCCACGTCAACAGGCTGCCAGGGCAGAGGGTTCTGATCTCTGCTCCAGATCTACGGCTGTGAGCCTCCTCAGAGGGGACACAGAGGAAGACTGACCTGGCCAGCTGGCTGTGTGCTGTCCCTACCTGCACGTGACAGGCCTTATATGGAGAGAGAAGCTTGAATATCTCCATCTCACAGATAATTTATAAACTAAAGCGCAGAGTTGGAGAGTATTTACCTAAGATCAGGTAGCTTATAAATGCCAAGGCTATTTGGCTTTCCCCTTCAAAAATGAGATGGTACGAGATTGGGGAGTGTGCAATTCAGGAGACCCAGATGTGGCCCAGATCCAAAGGAAAGCACAGAGACCTGGGCCCTCAGCCACCAGGGACACAGGGAGTGCCCCTGCCTGGTTGCACCTGAACTCATGATCTCTCTCTAGGTCTAACACCCGCTACACGCCTACTTATGGGACGCTTACCACACTCCTCAGGTTTCGTGTGGAACCTTGCACTCTGTGTGGGCCCTACTATGTCCATTATCCCAATAAAGAAACAGGATGGGAGGTTAAATACCTCCAATCGCATAGCTGCTGCATGTTGGAGCTGAATCAGAAAGCCACACTGTCTGACACTGCCATCCTAGGCCTTTCTCCTGTGTTACATTTCCCTCCCTGGAGGAAGTTGAGATACCAGCTGTAATTCTGGCTAAACAAGCTTCCTCTAAGTTCCCTGCACTGTGCCTTTGGTCCCTGTGGAACACATGCATTAAGCAAACTCTCTTCTTAAAGCCCGGCTGGGAGCTGAGCTTCCTGCTGAGGATAAAAGTAACCCATTGCAAGGATGCTGCTGAGGTTTGGGGAGGCCCTGTCACCCCTATCTGGGAATCAGGTCTCAATGAAACAACCATCACTGTACACAGTTTGCTTCAAATCACCAAAATATTTCCAGCTGGCTTTCAGATGAGGCCCTGCACCTCATCTGAAAGCCTTTAATCTTGCCCTAGTTGGCCCAGAAAGTAACCCCCTTGCCTCAAGTGGGGTACAAACAATCTGGTGCTCATGAAAGGAAGCCGCTGGGTTTGAGGCTGTTTTAGGCTTCACCTGGGTAGCAGGGAGCCCTAATTTATCTCTTGTTCTCTGAGACCTGGTGGCTGCTTGTTAAGCACATCAGAGGGTCAGAAAGTGGGATCTGGGACTGTGCTTACAGGAAATATTGATGGCTGGCTCTGAGAATTGGCTTCCCACTTGCCCTTAATTG